CGACTGCAGCCCCCCGGTTGCGTCTGCAGCGAGCTCGGGTTTCCGTCTGCGAGACGGGGGCGGCCTTCATTCTGACGCGGACTGGTGGGAGCCTCGGTTTGCAGACGTTTTGGGTGATCTCCGGCGAAAATGGCTGGCGCGTGTTGAGAGTTGGGGTTTGGTGCCGCGCGTGCTCCAGGCCTTGCGCAGTCCGAGTGATGACTCGTGGTTGGATGATGGGGAGATTCAGTCCTTGCGTGAGGATCTGTTGTCTTTCCTGACAGATCATGGGTATCATTCTTCTGTGTCTATTGCACCTGGACAGCCCCGAGCCCTTGATCTCTGGCGCGACCTGTTCGACATGACCGGTGACATAGATCCTGGCCTCATCCCCTTGCTTCGTGATGGCGTTCCTACATACAGGCATCAAGGAGACGATCCCTGCTTCGGGCGTTTGGCGGGAGGTGGACGTCCCTTCCAGGCCAAACTTGGAGCTGTCGGTCCACAGCACCCCATGGGGCACTGCGCTGGATGACCCAGAAACTTTGATGGAGCTCGTGCAGAAAGATATGGACAATGGGTTTGCAGAGTGGGTGAAGAAGTCTTGTCTCGCTTCGGCCGCGACTGTGCGGCTGGACGCCTAGGCCTCGTAAAGAAGGAAGGGTCGGAGCCACGCTTGGTGGGAGACAGCGCCATTTCGAATGCCAATCGTATTTCGGAAAAGATTGAACTTCCACGTCTGGCGGATCTGATCCAGTTCATGTCCCGTCACCGCGGCCAACGCTGGGTTGCATTCACGTTGGACGTCAAGAAAGCTCACAAGCGCGCTAAGGTGGCACCCTCCGAGCAAGGGTTTTCGGTGTTTACGGCCGTGGATCCCCAGGGCCGCACGCGGTGGCTGGTGTATTTGACTTGTCACTTCGGAGGTGCTTGGAGCGCATATTGGTGGTCTCGCGTGGCCGCTGGGTTCGTACGACTGACCCACATTCTGTTGCACAACTCCCACTTCCTGTCCATGTATGTGGACGATGAGCTCTCCTTGTTTCCGGAGTCTTCAGCCACCCTAATGGCATGCATCGAAGTTATGCTGGCTTGCAGCCTTGGCATCCCTTTGTCGTGGAAGAAGATGGCCCTCGGCACAAAGATCAAGTGGATCGGCTGGCTGCTGCAGTTTGATGGTCAACCGTGTGCCACGTTGCCGGAAGATAAAGTCGTGCGACTGGAGGCGGGTTTACGTGTCGTCGTGCAGCGGCGGTGGGTGCGCCGGCGTGAGCTGGAGTCATTGATTGGCTTGTTGTCATGGTACACCTGTGGCGCCCGTTGGCTGAAGCCGTGGATGGCCGTGTGGTTCCACATGTTGTTGAAGCCAGCCATGCATTTTTATAATCTGGATGGCGAGCAGTTGTGGGAATTGCAGCAGCTTCTGGATGCACACCTACGGGTGTCTCGCGATGCGAGCTTATCTGACGTGCAAGCTGGATGGCGCCTGGCAGAGTGCGGCGGCAAGGTTGCCTCACAGGCTTCTGACCTGAACCGATGTCGGTCCAAGCATGGCCGGGTATGGGTGAAGTTGTTAGACAGCACGTCCGTCCAAGTACGGCCATCTAAGGATGAGGCCAGTGTTGCTGCCTTCTTCCTGCAAATGGTACTGGGGCGGGCGCCCGTGCATCTTGTCGAGTCCCCAGCAACGCAGTGTGTGGCGGCGGCGGATGCCTTTGCCAGCCCAGAGCGCGCAGGAATTGGAGGGTGGTGGATGCCAAGTGGCTCGCAGCTGGCAGTGCCGTCGATCTGCTGGTTTTCCATTGAGTTGGATAGGTCATCGTTGCCCAAGTGGTTCGTTCCGTCAGGTGCAGATCTAGAGGATGTCATTTGCTCCTTGCCAGCTGGTTCTGTTGGTTTTGCAGCGTCAGGATTCGGAGTCCCAGCTTCGTGTGCCTAACGTGGGATGCTTAGCAGTGAGACAGCGCTGCGATAACCTGGGCGTCGTGGGCGCTTGCGAGAAAAGTCTGCCTATGAGGCAGCCCTTGGCGTCGGTTCTCCAGGCCACGGCCCTCTTTTGTATGAGGGAGCGCATCAACCTGCGTGTGAGCCACCTTGCCGGAGTGCGCAATGTGTGGGCCGATGCACTATCGCGTGGACGAGCCAAGGACCCAGCCTTTTGGTCACAGCTGGACCCGGCAAAGCGACGCTCGCTGGATTGGCAGGCGCTGCTTGAGGCAGGTCGTCCTGAAGCACTTTGCAGTGCTGTGTGAAGTCGTTGCCTCCAAGCGTGGCCTAACTAACGTCTCAGCAGTGTGTCAGGTCCGTGCTTCTTTGAGTGCGCGTTGTTAGTTCCACAGTGCATGCCCGCTGCTTGAGGCAGGTCGTCCTGAAGCATTTTGCAGTGCTGTGTGTAGTCGTTGCCTCCAAGCGTGGCCTAACTAACGTGGCAGCAGCGTGTCAGGTCCGTGCCCCTGTGAGTGTGCGTTGTTTGTTCCAGAGTGCATGCTAGGATTCCGTGCCATTCGCGCTAAAGCCTGGAGTGGATCGTTGCTCATGGCAGGGTTTTGGCTGCGGCGGTGCTTTGTTTGGATTGCCTGGGCCTGGACGGCCATGCGGTTTGGCATGTGTGCAGCCAAAACACCTGCCTGCATGACTGCATGTACAGTTGAGGGTTGGGGTGTTTGCCTTGGGGCTTGGTGGGCTAGGCCAAGGCACACACGTAACCCTCGTTGGACTTTGCAGCATGACATGTCCACTTCTTGCACCTTGTCTTGCCAGGTTTCTCATTTGTTCAGGTGCTTTTGCTGTCTCAGGTCAAGCAGCTGAATTTTGCCCGCCCGCCCGCCCCGATGGGTGGTGAAATGCAATTTTGGGCTTGTTATGTCCAGTGTGGTGTGCGCCCATCGGCGTTGCTTCCCTGCAGGGGGTTTGGATTGCCTGGGCTTGGGCGGCCATGCGGTTTGGCATGTGTGCAGCCAAAACACCTGCCTGCATGACTGCATGTACAGTTGAGGGTTGAAGCCATTTGTGCAAGCATTGGTGAACTCAGAAACAGAGGAAAACGTCACACAGTTCTTCAGTGCGGCTTGCGAGATCGCCGCGCAATGCTGCAAGCTGGACCTGAAAACCCAGGTCTGGCAAGTGCACAAGGATTACTGATTACGCAAGCGGCATACAGGCAGCCCGGTGCAAAGTATTTCCTTTCGCACGCCCGTGTGATGACTACCCTCACATGCGGCGGGCGTCAAGCAGAAGATGGGATTAACCACGGTGCGCAGGCCTCAGTTTTTCTGCGTGTGCGCCAGCATCCACCCGACAAAGCCATCGGGTTCCAACCCTGCAATAAAATGTAAGAAAAAAGTACAAGTGTAAATATAATTAAGGCATCTAGCAAAACGTATTTTGAGTGCTCGTGCGTCCGCATGTTTGCCCATGTTGTGCAAATGAGGGGAACAGGGCCCAAGAGCGAAGAAGAATCATGACCATGTACGTTAAGATTGGTGTCTTTGAAGGCAAGTGGAGTGGGAAATACCGAATAACGCTGCTTCACCTTCACCTGTCTTTATTGTCGTGTCAAACCTGTGCCAAGCAGAAAGGTCGCAAGAAAGATAAAAAAGGGAGACACCATTTGACCGATTGGATGCCATCATCTAGACCAGCCGAGTGATGCCAGGCATTGTCCTTTTTGACGCAGTCTGGCATTGGACTTTCGCTTGGCTACAGCAAGTGAGCAAAGATGCCAGCACATGATTCAATTGTAAACTCCACTTATTTCGGCAGCCTGCAAGGGCAGGTCTGGTGCATAGAACCCGTGAGGAATTCCAGCTGTTGCTGGCTTGCAGGGTTCGGGGCCGGTGTGACCGGAACATATCCTGGTAGTTGGTCGTGCACACAGCCCCTCGAGTCCTTCCACGCATTCTGGCAAAATGCAGTCCGCAGCAGCGTCCGTTCTGACCCCCGCGCAATTTTCGCCCGCATGGAAAGACTGTTTCACGGGGACTGGGCAAAGAAGTTCCACCGGGCAGTCTCCCGTGTTTTCCAGACTTGGCCTCAACACCCAGCACAAGAGCTTCTAAATGGACAGGCTCTACGCACAGCTGGGCGTTCACCGGCCGTCGACTGCTACTCGGAGCGAGAGCCCAAACTCTGCGGCCAGTGCCAAAAGGATTCCTCCGCAGGGTCCAACTGAACCCTCCCCCAACCCGTAAAAATACATTGTGTAGTGATATTGAATAGGAAAAATTCCAGCTGGAGCATGCGTGGCTCTGTAACAGATGGCAAAAGGCTACAGCTATGGCAGGGGTCATGTAGCGGCCTGCATAGAAAGGTCAGTCATATAGGGCTTAGGTTCATGGATATTGGCCGCAATGATGTAGAAGCAGAAGGATTTGACATAGAAAGCGACATGACACCTGGGGTTGTACATGGGTATAAATTGGGAAGTACGGACGTAAACGAGTGCGAAGAACAACCTGGTTTTGGAAGTAGCGTACTAGAGAGTTTACAGCCGCAGTGCTGGCAATTTCTTAGGCTGCTGCTGTATGCCAAGTACAACCTCAGAACTCATGACCCACCCACACCACTGGGGGTCCAACCAACATAAGTTCCCAAAGGGCTCTATTCAGTACCGGGCTCAAATGAACAGGTGTCGGGGTGGGAATGAATGGTTCAGGGGCGGAAGAAGGTATGTTCAGCGGTCAAAAGATACGAGTGGGGCCTGAAAAATACGTTCCGGTGTTAAAGACAATGTGTCGCCCGCTTCCGAAGACGTCTCAGTTAAAGTGCCGGCGAAACGTTTTCCCGAAGATATGACTGCTTGCTGGATGCTCGTAACTTTCCGAACAGCACTCATGTCTTATTATCGCTCGTCCACTTTTCCTCAAACGCGACATTGGCCGTTCATTTAGCTGCAATGACCGTACTTTCTGCATCTTTCTGCATGCACACATGATCCCGCCTAGTAACATAATCAGTTTCTGCATCATCTTCATCTTCGATTTGCATCACCATCGTCATCCCACGAAGACAGCCGGAAACAGGTGGGAGTGGCTGGCTGCTCGACTTCGGCGTCCGGGCGACGCTGTGAGTTTAGCACCTCTGCGACATCTGGTAAGGGTTCTCATGGCAGAAACTGAAATCACAGCTGGCCGCCCAGCGGAGCCTTTGTAATTGCAGTTAGGTTGCAGACGTCCGAGCATTTGCCCCACATGGCTCCCTTCCACAACATGCGACAAGTGGCCAAGGCCGGAGCCACAGCACACAGCACGCTCCATGTCTCCATCTCCAATTCCTCTGACAGGTCCCGTGGGCTCCGCCACCAGCGCCGCAACGGTTATGGGTGCTCCGCTCAACACCTCGTGTATGGCCGCCAGCCATGCTGTCCGTGGCACCCAGGCTCGTCGCAGCAGGCGAAGGCCACGGCTGAATCAGCAGCGCACGAAGAAGAAATCAGTTGTGATGCCAGGCCAGAGCGTCGGCTACTCGCAAGGCACGGGCGGTCTGGCGAGAGCGCTGTTGGACATGCTGCTCTACAGCGAGGCTGCGGCCAGCCCGGCAACTGCAAAGGCTAAAGAAGCATGGCATGCAGTAAGACAAAGCATTCCAGGATGAAGACAGGTAGGTCGCACAGGCCCGTGGTCTCATCCAAGGCTCGGCCCATGCAGAAGGATGCCGCGGCCACGGAGGAGGCAGTGGATCCGAAATCGCACGAACAGGTTGGCTGCATTTTGCCGCCAGGCAGCGCAGGCCTTGAGCGTCTGGGAAGCATTGCTCGAGGCACTAAATCCAGAAAGTGACCCTGCTTCCTTGTGACTGCGATTCCCATGCCAGGTCCTGACTCTGTCGGCACACATCTTGACTGAGGATGCTTCCCAGCTTGCTTTTCAAGCCACAAACTCAACAGGAATCTTCCGACACGTCCCGACAGAGCAGAAAACTTTAGTGACTTTAAGAATGACTTTGTGAGGTCCTGGGGCGACTCCTAGGATCGGAGGTGCCCGCAGGCAGAGACCTTACAGAGCCAGTACACATCTCACTGAGCAGATGCACAGATCAATGTGTCTATGGATGGGAGGCAGGCGGAGAGAGAAGGAGAGAGAGAGAGAGAGAGTGCAAATTCAGCCACCCACTCCACAACGGTCGGGGGCGCTGACGCAGCCTTGGCGAAAGAAAGAGATGCAGGGGCGAAGAGTCATACCGTCCCTGGTCGTATGCATATGTGATCATGTGTGTGCGTGGGCGTGTGTGCATTAGCGTGCGCGTGCGCGATCGCGCGAGCCTGCACATGCACGTTGGGCGTGTGCGTGTGCGTATGCCAGTGTGTGTGTGTGTGTGTGTGTCTCTGTGTGTGTGTGTGTGCGCGTGCGTGTGTGTGTTTGTGCGTGTGCGTGCCTGTTTGTCTGCACGTATGTGTGTGTGTGTGTGTGTGCGTGCGTGCGCGTGTGCGTGCGTGTGTGTGTGTGTAGATATATACATGCATGCATCTATGCTTTTGACATAATAATATGAAGCTGACTGAGCCCCAAAAGTGGTGCTGAGACTGCGTACCTTGTCACGAGCGTGGGAGAGCGCTCTTGTTTCTCACTGTTGGGGCACACTGGAGTACAACTTGACGGGGCGACCCAAGCTGTGAGACGCTTAGGCTTAGTCATTGTCGCTCTCTCTTCGAAACCATCGGTTGCTGGTGTCAGTCGTGTGAAACACTCACACCCACCTGATTTCACCTTCCGAGCAGCCAACATCAGCCAATCACTGGCTTTCCCCCTACGACTAGAAATAGTGGTAGTGGTAAGAGACAAAAACAGATAAACTACTCCATAACACCATGGGGCGACGGGCAGGCCTAAGGCCTTAGGGTGTGTAGTATGCATTGTCGTATGTGCAATTGTGTATGTCTACGCGGGAATTTCTAGAAGATGGGGATTCCTTCTAGCATGGTCCTCACACTATGGACCTTACTAGTAGGGTACTACATTCGGTCCGTCGTTTTTTCTGAGACTTTGAAGGCCTCATATACATCGCCAGGATCAAAATTTCGTCGCACTTGCCTATGGGGTCATTCGAGGACGCGGAGTACCGAAAAGGTCGTTTTACACGTCCTGGAAAATTAAAACACCGTTTTGAAATGATGTTTCGTTAATGTTCCGGACGGGACAGCTGTGTGTGGAAAAGGGCTTTCGCAAGGTGTTGAAGCCCATCATGCAAGAGTACTACTAACTTTCGTCCTGCCGCAGTATAGATATTCCCGGATGTGTAGACGAGAAAGTTTTCCGAGGCCCTCTTGCAGATCTCCGCTCGGGAGCGCAGATGGCCCTGAAGGAGTGAGGGGCTGTGAACTGTCAACGGAGGAGGAATGGTAGTTCCCTAGGGTTTCAGAGACTGAAGTAGCTTTTAAAAAGATCCCCAGAGAATACGATCCCGAACCAAAGCCCGAAATCATGAAACCCTGTATACAATAGTACTAGAGCAAGACTATAAGAGCACGAGCTGTCTTGTTGCTACTGGTACTGCGGGTGCTGTTATCTCGCCGCCATCACTGTTGATGTTTGAGGTGTCACCGATGCTGCTTCCTAACTGCTTTTCTGGTCATCCCATCGGCGCTTGCCCGCCCTCGCTCGACTGTTTCTGTCTCTGTTACGATGGTCAGAGCCGTTGCTCCTATTCCCGTTGCTGCAAGCATCGTTTCTCCTCCACCTCGTGCTCCAGTTCTCTTGCCGGGCACCGGGCAGGAGGGCGTCTACGGGCTGCCTGCCGGCGCCGTCCCGAGCTGGCGCTGCAGCGCTTGCCCGGCCTTGGCCTCTCAAGCTGCAGCCGAAATCAGTTCAAAGCATTTGGAGATATTTGGAGGTCTCCAAGAAGAGCCTGCAAGGACCGTGGGATTGCCGGCGGCTTGTCAGTCGGGTCGAAGAAGCCGTGAGCGTGCTTCGAGGAGTTGGCGGGCCACTGGCGAGGACCTTGCAACTGCACAAAGACTGGGCCGCCAGCTCAAAGCGGGAAGCCGAAGACTTGACATGGAAGCTGATGCCCATTTCCCACGTGCCAGGTGCGCTGCGTGGCGGTGAATGAAGCTGGCACGTTGCTGGCGAGTGCATCGAACGACCTCTCAGTCAAAGTCTGGGACCTGACCCAGGATTGCCGAATGCTGCTGGAGCTACTGGGACATGAGACTGCAGTTCTCACTGTGGACCTTAGAGGTGAACTCGTGGTGTCTGGAGATAAGGACGAGGTGATTCTCTGGAGCTTGTCAGATGGCAGCGTTCTCAAACGCCGGCCTGGGTTCGCAGGAAACTTGAGCGTCGTTCAGTTTTTGGGCGATGGGCACGTGGCAGTGGCCACCGGGACGGACGTTGAGTTAGTGGGAGCCAGTACGCTGCAGGGCAAGCCGACCTGCAACCATGACGCCAGAGTTGCCGCCATCCACTCCAGCGCGGTCCCAGGCGGTTCCCCCACAGAGTTGCTCCTCGCCTGTGGCTGCGATGACAAGCATGCAGCACTGTGGAAGCTGAGCAGTCAAGATGCCAAGCGCAAGAAACTAGCAGCCCCAGAGTTCACGGCACAGCTGATCACCAGGATTTTGGTAGGAGAGCAGGACGTCCGGGCAGTGAGTTTGAGCAGGGCGGGGAATCTCCTGGCATGTGGGAATGATGACGGGGTCTTGCGAATTTGGAGCATCAGCACAGGGAAAGCTGGGCTTTCCTGCAGCATGCTGTGTTCTGCACCAGATATGCACAGTGACTGGATACATTCTGTAAGCATGGCTCATGACGGCTCCTATGTGGCATGTGGTTCTGACGACAACTCCATTTCCCTCTTCGACGTGTCAAAGCAGCGAATGGCAGGACAAGTCAGGATCTTTTCTGGTGCCTTTTCTGTGGTACTGTCGCCGGACCTGAAGTCACTATACTCCGCAAGTGGTGACATCCGTTTGTGGAGTGTTCCCAAAATCAAGCAAACGCACCACTTGAATGCCACAGGTACTGGCAAGCATTCCTATGCTGTCACCGGAATTGCGGTGTCTCTTGATGGATGCCATGCCGTTTCTGTGTCTTCAGACTTGACAGATGGCAAGACAAACGGCGGCCTTCAGATTGGGCTTTGGGACTGTCCAACAGGCTCCCAGACCGGATTCTTCAAAGTGGGCGGTTCCATAGATGACGATGACAGGCCCCTGTGCGCATCCATGAGCCCGGACGCTACAATGGCTGCCATCGGATGTGACACCGGCAAGCTTTGGGTCGTAAACCTGACGGAGCCCTTCGCGGCCGTTTGGGTGCAGCCGGAGGCCCATACTGAGCGCATCTACTGCTGCGAATGGCTGGAGCTGGATTGTTTGGCAACTGGCAGTGAAGATGGTAGTGTTGCTTGCTGGTCAGTCAGGGACAAGGTCTGCACTGCGAGTGCCAGGCCGTATGATGCGGGCATCCGTTGTTTTGCGTGGACCCAAGATCGGCAAAGGGTCATGTGCGGCTGCGACTACCAGGCACCACGACTGGTGTCGGTTGGAGAGAAAGGCTCAGATGGCCGCGTCCTAGCAGAGTTCAAGGATGTCGTCCGACAGGAGCTGACTGTCATAACCCCTTGTAGCATTTCACTCAGCTCGGACGACCGGCGTGCGGTGACCACGAGCTGGGACAAGGCCCCTCCGGCTAAACAGGAGTGCACTTATTTCTTGCCATCACCGTCTCTCTCTCTCTCTCTCTACCTTTCCCTGCTCTCTCTTTTCGCGTTGCGGTTGTCTGAATTCTTGTAGGCGCTGCGCGTGTGGGAGCTGGACTCTGGACAGCTCCTGCTGGCCGTGACGCAGGCAGAATGCGACTGTGGAACTCGCTCTGTGCACACTGTTGTCAGGCAAATGCCGAGCGATGTCGATGGGAGAGAGTGCCATGCGTGGAACATCGTGGAACGTTGAGCACAACGGGGATGTTTCGACTCAGCCACCGCACGGCGCATATATTGAAATCGTGTGCCCCGATCCCCCGAACTTCAATGCTGAACTTTATGTGAGCGAGGCTATGCTGAGGTTGGAATTGGAGGTTGCAGTACTGATGAGTGCTTGGGTCACTTCAGCTGCGGCTGTCACGAACAGCTCTCTGGACTTTGGGAAGGGTCCCCAATCCCTGGGCTCTTATTCCAGCTTATTCCCCAAAATGGGCGCGAGAACAGGGAATCGACGACAGAAACGTTCGCTGCCTGTTGGGGGAGTCGAGCAAGGGGGGGCAGTTGACGTGGTGCCCACCCTGTGTCGTTGGTGATGTGCCCAGAACTATGCTGTGACAGGTTTCCGACTGGGTGGTGAAGGGTTTTGGAGCGACACTGGCAGGCACAACCAGGGTATCTACAGTATTTCTGTGGACGTGCCACATGCTGCTTGTGTCCAAGTCCAAGCAGGTGACATGGCCGGCCTCTGTGTGTCGACCTCAGACGCTTTGTATCGACCGGTACCTCGTGTCCTGAAGCTCGTCGGACCGTATCTGATTGAAGTGCTTTGCTTTTGCATGTTGAGGTCTCCTATTCCTGGGACCGGCAGCTGCAGCTCTGGGATTTCACACATGTGCTCGGTGCTGCTGGCATGGAGAGCATAAGCTTATGATGCAAAGATGGGGCCAGTCACGCTTCCTGTGCCAGGCAAGGGAGAAGAGAGGGAGGCAGTGGTCGTGTCATCACAAGAGTCCTCCGAAAGACTTTGCACTTGTCAGTGTCCTGGCCCTACTGTACATCCTTGCACCTTCTGGGCCCTCGCGGGGCCATAGCTCCGCAGCCTTCGCCAGCCCAGCTTTGCCCGAGGCGACGCCTCCCTGGTACACATGGCTTGCGCGCCGCGCTGGCGAGAGGGTGTCAGGCCAGGCCAGCAAGGCCCAAAGACGCAGAGAGCCCGGGAGTCGAAAGCAGCTTTTCTGTGAAGGCGGAGCCTGGTGTTTGCAGACGAGGATGGCGGAGTCCACTTCTTTGAGGCTCCAGACTGGAGTCACTCTGCGCTGTGTTGGTGGAAACCAGCAAAACCTAGCTAAGGTGGAAATACGACAGGCGCCCGTGCAAGATGCGCAAGGTGCCTGATGGTTTGTTAATGCTCCTGTGCATGTGCACATCCCCGTTGCTAACGATCTGGCAGGGGATGCATGTCAAAGACATACATCTCTTTGTGCCAACCTCCACGGTGGTGACTCTAGCATCAGCAGCCGTTGCTTGCTTGCTGAAGCATTGATTTTCCAAGAAAGCTTCATGACGTGGGGGCGCTCCCTGCAGACATGTACGATACGACCGTTTCTCGTTGTCCACAACACTTGGCTTAGCTTAGCTACTTCACCGGCCCTTTGCATTTTGCCCGACGCCTCTGGACGCTCAAGTCTCATCCGAGAATCAAAACATGGTAGCAAGATGTGCCAAGAAGACGACCTGAGCACCAATGTTTCAATGACGAGTGTTTAGCTTACCGGCTCACCTGTGCTCTGGACCGCGTGGCACGAGTTTGTCGCACTTGGTTCTCGTCATGCAGATCGCAGAAGCCATGGCAACTTCGTGCGAGAACCATGTGCTGCGACCTTGGCCAATTCCCAGCTGGCCGGAGCTTGCAGCGACAGACCAACACTGCGTGAGGCTCCAGGTGCTGTCTCTTTTTCGACAGTGGCCAGGCTGTCTACGAAGCAGGACGGCAGGCTCGACTTCTTGAGCGATTGCTGAGCTTCACAGGTTTCGCCACAAGCACCATGTGGAGTTTGAAGACTGTCACTCACTCTTTTTCCCTCTGCTCCCGTTCGGAGGTCCGCGATGTTGCTGTGCACGTCTGGACGCCGGATGCCTACGAGCTGGAAGCTCCCAGATTTGTTAGAGAGCTTGGTAGGGAACTCCGTAGCAGCGCTGTCCAAGCAAGGCCGGAGGGCTTAGCTGGAGGCCAGCAGAGGGCCGAGAGGGCCGAGGCCCGGCAGCTCTGAGACCCGGAAGCCTTGGCTGTACCGGGAGCAGAGAGACCGTCATAATAAGCTCTGCCTGCTCAGCACGTCTCAACGCGGCGGAGCCTTTATGGATCGGGCTCTGCCCACATCTGCCCACACCGAACAACATCGCGCTTCACGGGCATTGTTAAAGAAGGATGCGAAGTTGTGAAAACACCGCGTGGCTGCATGTGTCCAACATGAGCAGCGATTGCTGCATGTTGTGGGCCCAGTTGCGCAGTCGCGCAACTGTAGGATCGCAATTGCATGAGACGACAGTCTGCAAGACCTTACACCTTGCAGGGTGCCACTGCCCCAGCAAAGACTTGATTGATCGTCTTTCCCGAAGGGTTTCAGAAAGGGTTGCAGATCAAGCAACTGCAGTTACTGTAAATATAATCGGCCAGTGTCGCGGAAGGTACCAGCAGTTTCCAGATACGAATTGCCATGATGTGAATGCCAGGCATCCGTCGCAGAGAGGCTGCCGGGAAGTGCTGTGCGGCAGGACCTGCAGTGACAGAGCTGGGCCGGTTTCGTTGTAGCTCTGCCGGGGATGGCCGAAGTGGCACTGACACACTTGCCAGGAGACTTCCCTTGCCAATGTGCACTCGCCATCGCTGGGGGAAATCTCGTGGACTGTGACGCTCGGTCTGATCGAGGCCCCCCCCCCATCTCATGAGACGACACTGCACGTCGGGCATCCCGGTGCTTCTGCACTGCCGCAGGTCCAGAAGTGCTCCTCGCATCCCACAGAACAGGCCTTTCTGTGCCTGAGCTTTCTAGCGAGACTTTTCAGGCTTACCTTCTTGCGCAGGACAAAAAGCCCTATGGCGTGGCGCAGCTCTTAGTTCTGCGGTTTGTTTGCATTGCAGCTCAGACACTGAGACAGCTTTTGGACTTTGGATCCAGTGAACCAAGATTATGAGACCACCGCAGGCAATGACCGCATGTGCTCGGCATGCGCTCTGGCATTTGGTTGCAGCCTTGTGCTGGAGACGGTTCCTTTGCCTCCTTCCTCCTTTCTTGACCCACCTGCCCAGGCTGCAAATGTCTTGGCAGAAGTACAGGCACTGGGCCACAGGGCACTGTAAACTGCCAGTACAAGCCTGAATGCAAATGTAAAGACAATCCTGACTAGGTTTCTGCCATGCGACTGGACGTGGTGCTGCTTGGCGCATCAGTCGGCGCTTACAAGCAGGCTCGATGTTCTCCTTAAATTCCGTGAGCGTGGCGGGGAGTGCCGGACGTGTGGAGGCCAGCATGTGGCACTCCGCCGCGCAGGACCAGCAATGTGACTCTGAATCTCATGTGTGGTAGCTTGGAACTGTTGGCAGCCGCAGGTGCTGCAAAGTTCCTCCGCACAAGGGCTTGAGCACAGCATCATCTCCCACAACGCGTTGGGCCTAGATTCGTACCATCCGTACCCTGGCATGGACACGAATCAGCGTGCATGTCGGAGGCCTTGCTCAGTTCACTTGGACGCTCCGCTCTGTGGCAGTCAGGCTTGGCGCTGCAGGCCGAGCTCAGCGCAGCTGAGATTGGTGAGACGAGAGCATCGTCGTAGTTGTTGCTGCTTTAAAATCCGAAGGCCAGCATGGTTTGCTCCAGCGGCATGACCTGCGATGTCGCAAGGCTCTCGGCATTGGCCTTTCACAGTGCTAGCCGGCGTCTGCAAGCTCATGAGGTGACGTTCAACACGTTGATCACATCGTACCTGAACGGCAGCTTAGTGGCAACATGGCACCATATATGTATATGTGTGGTGTGTTAAGTTGAGTGTGCGTGCAGATAAAGCATCATGGCACATGTTCAGGCATGCAAGGTCGCCGTGCACTTCGTGTCCTGCCCATGATGAAGGAGACCCTTGCAGTCAGGCTGCCAGAAACGGGCGTGGGCTCGCAGCCAAAGCCGGGAAGCAACGACATGGTGAGCTGAAAAACTTGCAGGAGCAGCTGGTTGAGCCCGACCAAGCACACCCCTTGACGTTCCTACGACGTGCAACGCGCTAAATACGAATGTCGTGCTGAAGCGACTGAAGGTGACATTTTCCAGCACGATCCTGGCGTGCAAGACGGCACCCCAGCGTCCCAGAAAGTCGAGGAACGCAAGGTTCGATGCTTGGACAGACTGTCAGGATGGTTTCGGCTTGGCAGGTGGCGCTGGCCTGTGTGCAGGCAAGGGCGATTACACGTGGCCCTAGGATAGCTTAATATATGTAGTATAATATAGCGCAATACGATACTGCATCGTATATGGCATAGTACAATATAGTCCTTGTCCTGCGCTTGGGTGCGGCATGGCCGCAGGGGCTCAGCCTCGGGGGAGATCGGCCTGGGCAAGACTCCAGGGTTTTCGGTCCAAATCTGAGTTCCATGGGATCTGCCTTTTAAGCTTCGCGGTCACCTCCGCTTGTCTCCTGGTTCAGGTGCGGCCATGGCTGCTTGTGCCAAGGCCATGCAGTGGGAACGGGCCTTGGAACTGTCTCGGGCTCAGTCTCCTCCCGCCCCTGGCCTTGAGCTCTAGAAATATTTTTGAACTTCTGGCTGGGTTGAGGCTCCATACGGTGGATGCAAGCAGCGGAGATCTCGACCTCGTGGGCGCCTCACACTGCCCGCAAGTCACGGGCACCTCGTAAACGGATCTTTGCGAGGTTCTGTGCAACACGGGGATGGCGGCATGCGCATCGGGGAGGGCGTGGAGAACAGCACTTGACCTACTTCAGAGGCCCATGAGCATTTCCGCGGACCTTCTACGGTCATGTGATGTCATGTGGCTAGGCTGGCACGAGACGGCTTTCGATCGGATGTGTCGCCCTTGACGTCTTCTCCAGCTCAGACAATGACATGAGAAATGAGGTTGTCTCGCTCAACACTTGCATGACCGCCTCTGAGAGAGCAGACCGCTGGCAGGCGGGGAGTCGCAGGCAGCACAAACTCCTTCTTTTGCTTGTGCAAAGCAGGGTGCCTGCGAACTCCTAGACGCGGCTCGTCGCCAGGGCCAGAGTGTCATGAGTGGTTCTCACATGCCACGAGCCATGCCGAAGCGTCGCACTTCGACACACTGAATATCGGTGACTGAAAGTATAGTGAGGCCATGCGCAGCGCCTCGATTCCATCACCTTTGCCGCCGGCACCGCTGCTAGCGGTCGGAATGCTGTGTCATTTCGGGCAATACAGGTCAAGAACTTCTGCACGACAGGTGCCGGAGCAGGATCTGCACGTTGGGCGTTGGCAATCGACATGATGGCAAGTTGCCAAGAGCAAGGCCAACCGCAAATACCTCGCAGATCCTGTGCTTCATTTACATTTTACATTCCTCTACACCTGCTCCAGGGCATTGCCTTCTCTTGAGCACAGCTGGCTTCGGGGTCACAATTTCGCGGGTCGTGGGTTGCATGTGGAGGCGTGCAAGTCAGCACGGAGACCCTTGGGACAGTCTTGGCTGCGCTCTCCGGCCTCAGCATCGTTGGTGCAAGAGAGGCCGGAAGCACACACACCGACATGCACAAGCAGCAGAGTTGTCAAGTCGGTGTTGATCATCCCATATCATCTATATCATCCAACTAGCCGGAGCGGGAGAGAGCAGAGAGATCCTGACCTCCTGGGTCCTGGACCTTGTCTTTGGAGCTTAGATGAGCTTAGGCCTTGCAGCCCTCCAGCCGATAACACAGACCTAACTGGGCCGACGGGTTCTGTAGCATGCTGATTCAAGGACCACAATCGCTGGGTCCGTGCACTTCAGCTGCAATTTGCCAGCTTCCTGGCAAGTTTGCGCACGGTAGATCTTATAGGTCATTGCCAGAGTGGGGTTCTGACCTCGCATCCAAAGAGGCTGCACGCGGCAAGACGCAGCCTCAGAACTTCCGATGTTGGTTGCTGCTTGACTGCTTGGTCAGAAGCCTAAGCGTGTTTGGAGGCAGGACGCAACGACCTGGAAGATATCGCTGCAACTATGCCGAGATGCTGCTCTTGCCGGTGCCGTCGGCATGGAATCCCAGGTGCCATACACTGCACCTGCATATGCGCTTGTTGAACGAGGGCACGCAGTGACTCTGATGCACGGTCCAAGCACAGGCAGAGGGCTTACTGAGAATTCTCGGAGAGGCCGGAGAGCAATTGTCTGGCCCCAATTACTGCGCTTCCACTGCCTTGGAACGTCAGGATGTTGATGCGGGCGCGTTTTGCACAGTCGCTTGCTCAGTCCGGCTACTGGTACCCTTGAGAACAGCGGGGGAATCTGGAGGTCCTAGACATCCTGGAGCTGGCTGAAGACTTCCACGGTCGGAACTCGTGCGCTCCCATGAGCTGCAGCCACCAGCACCGCAGCACTGCAGGTGCCTCTGCGCTGTTGACCCGAGCCTGCTGTGCACTTCTCGGCTTCTGCGTGCTGAGACACGGGATTGGCCCAGCTGCCTGCCTGAGGTGATGGTTTTCTCCTCCTTCGGCAACTGCTACACTCACAGGCTTGGATGCTGAGAGAGATCGGTGGATTGTTTCGGATCTACGGCAAGCAACTCCGTGGAAACAGGTTTCTTCAAACACCCAGTGCGCTCAAGCGGCCACGCACTAAGCACTGGCACACCCTTCATGCTGTCATGCAGTGCAAGACAAGGTCATCACGATGGACTCCCTCTCCTTTCGGCAAAGACTGCCTTGTGCAATGCAGGCAGCATTGCGCTGCGCTTGAGCGCCTGTTATGTCCAAGGGGCCTCATCCCACATAGTATATTATAGTAGATTCGTATGCATTCTAGTATATTATAGTATATAATAGTATAGCTCCTTCCAGGCTGCCTTTCACCAGGCCGTCGCCGCTCGGGTTCTGGCGAGGCTTGCCAGTTCCAAAGCTGAGAATCTAGCTAGTTCCAGAAAGATGCAGGTACTGAAGGCTGGGCTGTGGTTTGCAATGCTTTGTCCCTCCAGCCCCTTGAATCAAGGTTTCCACCATTCGGCTCCATATCCAAGACAACAGTTGGCATAAGGCGTAAACGTTTTTGAAAGGTTCTTGAAGGTGCAGCGAGAGCTCATGTTCATGAGACTGCAGTGACGGTCGGGCACATCGCGTGTCGAAGGGTTTTGGCGAAACAAAAAGGAAGCCATCGGGGTTTCGCGAAAGCCGAAGGCGGCTCTTCTCTAAACTTCACTTCCTTAAACTAAGAAGACAAGCTCAGCTGCGTGATGCTTCCGCGGTAGCACTTGTCTCGTTTTGAACTTAAGTGTACAGCTTGGCTTTCAAGTTCAGGCGGTCTCTGCATGCAGGCTGATTCGACTGCTTCACGCTCCTTTGGAGCCTGAGCCTCACGCCGCCACTGCACATCCGGAAAACATATCTTTTTCGAGAGGTCTCGAAGCGAGCAGCTGGAAGCGCAGCCCATGCTGGGGCATGCTGCAACGATGCAGGTGCGTGATGAATAGTCCGATGCAGTTCAGCACGATGCCTGCTAGGCTTTGAGCCAGAGTTGCCTTGGCTTGCAGGCACGGTTTGCCGCAAATCATGAGAAGAGCTGGCGGTGCTTCATGAGTGACATTGCAGGCCGGAGCAATGTCAAGCGGGAGGCTCTTGAGTAGACGATGCCTGACTGCCGTGACCTCAAGATCCGAAGCGCGAGTGACGGTGTAGTACGACATTTTTCTCGCAGCGGACCAGGGCTGGAAACTCCAGCTACCGGCGTACGAGGCAGTGGCCACGGCTCGAAGCCCCGGAACGCTGCACTGCATTGCCCTGCTCTGCTCCGCTGCTGTTTCCACTCGTCCGCCTGCCGAGGCCCTGGCCCCATGTCTTGCCTACAGCATTCCAGAAAAGCACGCATGCTCCGCCGGACGTGTGGTTGGCTACAGAGCAGAGAACAACGCAGGACGCCCCCTGAAGTCCCCTCCTTGTCTCGACTTGACATGCCAGATGCGGCGCTAGCCTCTTGGGTGATGTTTCGCTCCATGAGCAGCCGTGCTTTTGTCAGGAGATGGGCCTCTAACGGCTGTGTGGGTGCAGCACGACCGTTCTCAGCACGGAGAGCGCCAGGTGCTTTACATGTTGTAGCATACCCGTCTGCGAAACTACCTGCTGCAATGTGTTGGTCACGGATTTGGCAAGGGAGCAGTGCGCCGGTTGATTTCAGATCGGGGCTCCGGTGCGATGTGGGAAAGCAAGATTCCGTTGCGAGGGGTATGTATGCCGCCCAAAATTCAAAACCACAAGGAAACTCCGAACTGTACAGCCCATTAGGAGCACGGCAGATTGCTGCAACAGCAAACCTCAAACCGACAACTTCGCTTCAATCACGCAGACACGAGTCAGTTCTGATTTCAACCTGATTCCATTGCCACACTTTTCTGGTCCGTTTTGCAGGCTCTTCTGATGGTCGTCGCAGCGACTTCCAGTAGCAGTCAGTCGCGACAACAAAAGATCTGCAAGGCAGCCATGCAAGTGTGAAGTTCCAAGCATGCCGAGGGACTTTCCTTGTTTGCTGGTGCTCCATGAAATTTGGCAGTATTATGAATATAAGTATTGTACATATCATTTGCACCAACAATATTATTAATCCTCTGCTCTGGCCCCCCTTCCTGCTTTCGGCATGGCAGCCGGTCTGGCGACTCGGGTTGGATGTGGTCCAAGGGTTGTTAACCGTGGAAGCTTGCTGAGTCGTTGCGATGTGATCTTGGATACCGCTGAGCCCTTCAGCTTTAGGCCTCGCCTGAACTTGCGAATTGGGCTTTCAGACTCAATCCATGATAGGAGCATGATTCAGCAATTGAGTGGAACAGCCAACGAAATAAATTATAGACTTGAACTTTGTGAATTGTCTGCCCCTTTTGACCGCTTTAGCTCACCTTCTCGCCCAGTACGACGAGGTCGCCCACCTCATACGTCCCTGCTCGCCCCCCTTCCGTCGAGCCCTGCATCGCTTGGAGCATTTTGGTCAGTTCGACCGCCTCCGCCGCAGCAATGAAATAAAATGATTCAGAAGGTTCAGAAGCAGCAGCAGCAGCAGCAGTAGCATCAGAACCACCACCGAGGCAACAAAAACAGCCAAGTCGTTCTTCACACTTCAGCATCCAAACAGGGGAGCGAATACAATCTCCAACAGACCTCTCGGTGGTTGAAGCTCGTCTTGGATCGACCTTTCTGGTCGTAAACGACAAAGAAAGTTGCTATCGCCTGTCCCGTTTAGCATGGGCTGATGGCGTGGGATGGAACCCACCGACGAAGAGATGCGGCGGATACAAGAGCAGTTACATGGCATTGTCAAGTGTTGGCAGATTCAGGGTTCATCTACACGAGCCCACCTTCAAGAGGTACTGTAGCTAGTCATGCCAATTGCGTTTAAGCTGTTAGACACGTTTACAGACACCTGCTTGCATTTTGTTTTGCCTGGCTCAGGTCAGTTCAAGGAACTGTCACAGCATGTCACAGCTAAGGTTTGCCATGCTGGATTTGAATGGTTCTGGCCCCTTGGAAGCACAGGGTTGCAGACCCGTTGCGAGCCTTATGACAAACACCAGCAACGCTTGGAGCAGTTGGTGTGGTGGAGCTTTGCATGTCACTGCAGCTGATGACAAGGCAAGATCGAGAGGGAAGAGTTGCAGGAGTTGCTGGTCTTCCTGGGGCTGGCAAGGGGCCCTGCCCGCTTTGTGTTTGCAATGCTTTTTCTTGCGGGAGCACAGTAGCAAAGACCTTGCGGTGCGAGGATCCGAGGGATGGCCAGCTGGACACGCTCTGGACCGTCTTAGACACAGACGAAGATGGGCTCATTAGCTTCCAGGAATTCTTGGACTTTGTCTTCAGCACCGGTGACGTTTCCTTCTTTACCCCCTCGGAGCTCGAGAGGGTGCGCGAGTTCTCGCAAAAGCGCAAAGTCAGCCGTGCAGAACAGATCCTCAGAGCTCGAATAGATGACAAGTTGCCTCATGTTGTCAATGGTTCGGGTGCTTCCTGTTTGGGAAGAGATATGCTCACGCCATCTGAGCCGGATTCCAAGGACCCCGACGCCAGAAACTTCGGCGGACAACGAGGCAAAGGGAGTCCGGCATAAAACTGGGGCTGGAGGCTCGACAACCGTTGCAGTCCTGAAGGAGGTTGCTCGACTCCAGAAGCGCGTGGAAGAGTTGGAAGCAGAGGCTCGAAAGCGCGAGAAGGCAGGATGTCATGCACCGTCAAGGCGACCTAGAAACAATCAACACCGCATATGGATCCGATTGAGTACATTTTGATGCGAGGTCGTGGTGCAGCTGCAGACCAAGCTGCAAGCAGCTCGTGAAGAACAGCTCATGCGAAAAAGTCGACAGAACAGCAAGGACCATACCACGGTAGCCTGTACAAATACGTATATCATGCGTACCTGCATATGTGCGTGCATGCAATACAACGCAACAGGATAGAAGACAGCACAATACAATACAGTACGAATGCTATGCTCGTACTACTTAGTAATCATACGAATACGAACACGAACACTAATGCTAATACTAATACTAAACTATGCTGCGCCGTACGACTAACCTCTGCCTGTATATGCATCTTACCGTTACACATGCTTCACGAATACTACAGGAAGCGGCAGATGTACATACATATATATATATATACATATATTTATGTGTGTATATATATATACTCATACTTATATATTTGTGCACATACATCCATGTAATCTCGTTACGTGTCACAGAGCGGAACAGAGGGTGTGGATCTTGGGGGAGGACATACATGCATACAACATACATACATACATACATACATACATACATACATACATACATAGATATTCATGTGTGTGTATGCATGTGTACATACATATATGTATATATGGTCCCAAACACAAACTGGTTTGTCTTTCCGTCTGTGCACAAGTTACATCAGCATGTACAAAAGCTATACACAAGGCAAGCCATTGAGTAGAGGTCTGTATAGGTGCCAATATGGAACTGCCGTACATATACATACTGTACGCACAATCGTGTAGATCTACCGGCCACCCGGGTCGGTTGTCTATTGAGGGGGGTCGGTGGTAGGAGATGCTCTCGCAGTCCGGTACAGTTTCTCTCCGCTCGGTCCTTGCTGCTTTTTGAAGCAAAAAGATAAAGTGTACCTGACCCTAAAAGCTCAGGGATTTTCGGAACCAAGGACGGTAGTATTATTGAGTTTCCTGGATCGAGTTTTTTCGTTGAAGGGGGGGGGGATGATAGTTGAGTTTCCGGACAGGAGTTTGTTTCGTTGAGGGCGGGGTATTTAAAGCAACCTAACATTAGTTCTACTAGGAGCCTTATTCTAAGGCCCCTAAACTAAAGCCTAGACCTTGCAGGATACCAGCGCTGAGAGTGAACCTGCTGGCCCAGCTCCAGCTGCGTCGAGCGATGAGCAGCTTAGCAGTGCCTAAGAAGGACTGAGCAAAATCTGAAAAGCTGATGATCTAACGTTCTTGATTCTTCGGCTTAAGTTGAAAGTGTCCAGGAATCAATCATGACATCTGCATATCCGGAATGCAGAGGATGCCGAATCAGCCCCTAGAATGCTCTGGCATTTGACCCCGTCTTGGCATAAGGATTGTGCAGCTCAAGAAGCAGCTTCATGCCGCCTGAATGCCAGTACCACCATGTTGTGAGTGCTTGCAATGTATGCATGTTGAGCAGCCAGAAAGGAATCTCTTTTTGGGGGAGCCATCTGCTCTGAGACAAGGATAAGCAGTATGCACTGCAAAGACTGGAGAACCAGCAGGAGAAGATCGTTGAAGGCGCCGTGCCACGGCCGTAAGGTCTGCAAGCGACGAGGGAAATGGAGCTGGCAGGCTACGTTGGATTCCTTCATTCGTTGATGGAGTCATCTGCGTCGCTGACTTTGCAGTAGCCTGGCCCCATCGTAGCTGATTCTGTGTGTGTATGTTTCCAGAGGTCGGAGCAGCTTCAAGATTATTGCGATCTCAAGACGGTGGAAATGCTTGGAAGAGGGGCCTACGGCTTCGTGCCTTGACTGCATGCTGATCGCATCCCAAGTGTTTCAACTCAGGGAAAACAGCCGAGGTGCTCACATGCCTTGACAAGGATCACAACCAGAAAGTTGCTGCCATCTCAGAAATGACTTCAAATGACGAATAGATAACAGCGTTCTTTCCAATGCCATTTCTCGTCACTTTTGGTGATGTGTATATGTATATATGTCCCTTTCTGTATATACATATATGTATATGTATATATATATATACATACATAGATGTGTGTACATACGTACATACATACATACATACATACATACATACATACAGACAGACAGACAGACAGACAGACAGACACACACACACACACACGTACATCTATATATAGACATGTACATACACACATCCATGTTTTCCAGTTTCCAATGTCGGATGTAGCCTACTATGCACTAGTAGTCAACGCCCCACCTGAAAGAGGCTGTGGGCCTCTCATTCGATTCGGCTTACCAGAAAAGCGCCAAAACCCCCGGAGCAGAAATCTACGCGAAAGTAGTGTGCGCTCGGGGCTCGATGCATACCATAAAGCGGCGGGTCCCTTGAAGGCCATCCATTACCGCAGGGACCCTCATGCACGGCCACACTAAAGGCATAGTGACACATATGCCGGTACAAAATTTTATAGACGTATTGCCTTCTGCGGACGGCTGTGGACCTATTGTACTGGGTTTCCATGGACCAATGGGCACACGTATGTCTACTGGATAAGAGACGTGACGGCTTTCGAAGCCTGGGCGGGAGCAAGATGGAGGCTTTCTGCAATCCGCTCGAGTGTGGTTATCGGTCAAAGCCGATGCAGTGCACTGGTCTAGCATGCCTCTGTTTTGGAGACCCTGGCCAGTTTCGCTTCGGCTCAGGTTGTGAAGCTGCAAAGCCCAAGATGGGCGGCAGTTGCTGCACAGGAATGGTCTCACGGCCCCCTGCTCCGCGTTTGGGGAGATCGCCGGCACGCGGAAGCACTAAAGCAGCCAAGGTTCCAAGTGTGCCCACGACAACATCGTTGCTCACCTGCAGGCTGGGAGCTGCAGACAGCAGACTAGTTTTGAAGCTTGCAGCTTCTTTCACATGCGGACAGGTTCTGCTGCACTACGATGGTAAAAGTGAGCTGGAAAGTTTCTTGGAGAGCACAGCGTGCCAAACAAGCCTTTGCGTCGTGCTTCATTCAACTGCCATTTTTATTTATCATGATGTGTTGCTCTCCGAGGGAAAATCGAAAAAGCCTTCGACGATGGTGTTTTCGCAGGGAAGCGACCCAAGATTCTCCCAGACAGACCGGTCCTCGGTTTTCTCAGAGGATCTGCATGCTTGCATCCCACAACTTCAGCTTCGGAATTGAACGTCTCGGCGGGTAGCGACATGTGCAAGAGGGCTGAAATGCTCTTGCTTTGTGTGAGACATCACTGAGGATACATCTGCATGGTTTTGGAGTATATGGATCGTGGCACGGCGCAGCACTTGTCGAAGGAGGGTCTGCTTGACCTGGAAGGCCCCGGGAGCAAACACTGCTTGTCCTCGCATTATCCTAGTGTGCTAGTATGTGCTAGTGTGCTGGCACGGTCTGGCGTTTCCGCGAGCAACAGCTTACGCTTGAAAGTCAGTAGCGGTACTGGTCGTAGCCAGACTGCTACCGGCAGAATTAGACGTCCCTTCGCATGAACTCGCGGGAGGGTCCTGATGGCACGAAGCCGTGTGGCGCAGGGCGTGGGAGCGTTGCGACATGGTTGATTTGGCTCCTCGTGCTAGTAGTAGCTGCGGGAAGGAATCTCAATGAGCTTCCGGTACTCGGAACATATCCACGGGTTTTTGGAGGCCTCGCAGCTATCACCCGACAAATATCTTCGGCTCTGGCCTTCATCCACAAGAGCTCCTTGGTACACGAAGTATGGCATGGCGATGCTTGAAGTCTCGCTAGTTTCGTGTCTTGCCCCGCAAGGCAAACAAACCCACAACGATATCAAGCCGGAGAACATCCTGTTGCAACGTGGCATCACCTTACATGGCTGGCCAGGCGACAGTCGAGCACGAGGGCAATGATTTCTTGCAAGGCGGAAAGCAGCAGCTGGCGATCATCTTGTTGTGCAGGACTTAAGTTTGCCCCGGGGTGCTGCAAGCTCGGCAAAGCGAAGGAAGTTGGTCGTTCTCAGGTGAAACTAGCAGATTTCGGGCTGGCCCAATGGTCCGTTGAGAGGCAGCGCGATGCTGCCTTGGCCACAGACTCCGGTTCTCGCTCGAACTTTCCTTTTGCTTTTTGCTGGTCTAAGGAGCTGATGGCTTACAGCCTGTGGTGTTTGGGGCTTGACGAGCCGCCGGCCTCTTAGGTTCTCGAGCCCAATCCACGGACAGAGGTACCAGAAGCCCAAGATGCCCAAGCCCATCCCGGTCAGGTTCGATCACATGCCGTCGAAAGAAGAAAGACCAGCTGCGGCAGACCGCTTCGAGGGCAAGGCGCTTCTCAAGGACATTCCCTGGGCCGTCAATGGGAGCTTCCGCCAGCTTTTATCGCACTCTCGAAGGATTCGCGGCAAGGCTTACGCAGTGCTCTGGGGAAGGCTGGCTGCCCGAGCCAGCCATCAAAAACGAGCCTCCGGCTTCGCCGCAGGTCGTCCGAGATCTCTGGGCTGGCTCTACCGAGATGGCCGTTGTGGCTGCTTCGGAGGTCGCAGAGTGACCACTGAGTGAGAGTGTGTGGGAGTATGGTGTGGGAGTATGTGGCAGTGCTCTACTGGTACCCACCAAGCCTGCAAACGTAGTGCCTTTGCCGATGCCTGTGGAGATGCTCTCATCTCGCTGCCAGGATTTCTGCGACATGCAGCTTACCATCCATCATGCCAAGCACGAGGCGGTGGAGGCAAATGCTAGACAAGAGTCTTAGCGGTGAGGAGATTGCTTAGGAGATGCGGTCGATGCATCTAACGTGAAGGAGTCGTTTGGTCCTTGCTGGAAGTTTCGGGAGAGCGAAATCTCAGGAGATTCCTCCCAGACTCGAACGACAAGCCAAGCTGTGGAAAGCCGTCCACATGGCCAGCATCGTCAGGAAGTGGAGCCACGCGGACCGGATCCACATAGTTAACCATACTTGATTTCAGCTTGGGAAGCATGTGACGATGCAGAACAGCACATCCGGTGTTCCGAAAACTCATGCTCGAACGCCTGGGTAGAAGTGATGGAAGACGGCCCCAAAACTCCATCGCTCTCCTGCTCTATCTCTCTCTCTCTCTCTCTCTCTCTTGCTCGGTCTCATCATGCCTGAGTCTTCCCTCCACACCCGAAACCCGGCTCTGCTGCTTTTGTTGCTGCAGGACGACTCTGATGACGCTCACTGAGGGCCCTCTGTGTGTTTTTAATTTTTCAAGGGAAGTGCCTAGGCTGACCGGCGAAGTGGATAAGTGAAGTGCCTGTACTGCTAATGCCTCTACTTTGTATAGCCCGCACATCTGCGCAAAACCAGCGGCAAGAGTGCATAAACACTAAGAAAGTACTAAGCATCTTGTCCCGATGCCTTGTATTCAAACACCTGTGCAGCACCCAACCTTGTACAAGACATTTGCACGCGTTTTCTTCGGGCTCAGCGGGCGCAAAGTCGCCCGTGCAGACAGGACAAGCTGATTCTGCGAAGTCATCTCGAAGTTTGAACCGAGCAACGTCTCTGTTAATGCAATCAGATCGAACTTCTCCCCGTACAGGGGTTCGCGATCTCCGGAGATTGTGGAAGTATGCCCCGTCGGACATGCAAAGAAAACTGCGACGCCACCTCGGTCAGCACAGAGATCAAGGCCCCTCCCCACACACTTTTCAGACTGACCAGCCGTGATGGATCAAACCAGCAGAAGGGTTTTGTAGGGCATAATCAAGGAGCTTTGATCATTCAGGATATGGCTCAAGGGACATATTATAACTGTACTACATAAACCATATATGTACAGTATGTCCGTGTGTATGTATATATATATATACATATACCTTTACATATATATATATATATTTACATACGTGTGTGTATTATGCAGATACAAATGTATGTATGTGTAAGCATGTACGTTTGTATGTATGTATGTATGTATGTATGTATGTATGTATGTAGGTATGTAAGTCTGCACATACGACCGTATGTACATATGTAAATAAATAAATATAAATATATATATATATGTATACATACACATATATGCAAACTTATATATACCTATAGATATAGAGATAGATATCGGCTCCTCCCAAGTTGGGCGTTGTTTCGAGAATTGTCACAACTGCAGTTTCTGTTGAGATTTGCAGAACAGGCTATGTAGTTCCGTGTCATCACTGCGCAACTTGGGAATATGGCCAGTTTGAGTGAGACATGCAATGACGATGCGGTCTGGCGAGCGTGTCTCCGGAAAGAGAAGAGATTTTCATGCAAACTTTTTATCCTCCCTTGAGGAAACGAGCAGGCATTGATGAATCCGCAGGCCAGTCGCCAGCAAATGGGCATGAAGGGAGCAATGTCCAGGAGGGACTCCCACGAAGAGGTCATTCAGGTCTGGTTATCCAGGCTGCCGCGAAGGCGGCAGCCTCTGGCACAGCGGCGAGCTACTGCGCCCCCGGCCTATGGCTTGGCCATCGCCAAGCTCAAGCACAAGCGCCGACGCAACAGAAAGCACCCACAGGGCCGACGGCGCCCAGGGCATCAAGAAGCAGCTCTCGCCCAGTCGGAGACAGCTTGGATGTGACCTTCCAGGAGCGTCTTACGAGCTTCGGGGCGGATCAGCTGCCGGAATTGGTCGAACTGATCGAAGCAAAGCATTCGCAGTTCAGCCCTGTCAGTTTGTGTACTGCCATCCATCGCGTGGCAGCTTTTCAGCAGGGCAGCAAGCAGTACCAACGCTGCCAAGGCCTGTTGTCGACCTTGGAATCTCAGCTTCGTGAGCGGCCGAGTCGGTTCAGAGCGCAAAGTATCGCCAACGCTTGTTGGGCCGTGGCCAAGCTTCATTGGACTGCCCAGTCACTGATGGAGGCAATGATTCAGATCACAGAACAGCGGGTGGACCATTTCAAACCTCAAGAGCTGTCCTTGTTTTTGTGGGGCATTGCCTCATCTCGGACTGCCCCAAAAGATGCTGAAGCCACAGCTGCTGCAGCAATCACGTCGGAGTTCCTTCAGCGTGGAAGCGCCAAGTTTGATGCTCAGAGCACTGCGACTCTGGCTTACTCGGCAGGCGTGCTGCTGGTCACAAATGAAGCGTTTTGGTCCGCCATGGATGCAGGCTCGGCCGACCGTGTGTCAGAGTTCAGCGATAGGCAGCTAGCAAACCTTGTCTGGGGCTTTGCCACCGTCGCCTACACGGACTGTACTGCCGTATTCACTCGAGTTGCAAAGGAAGCCCCGATTGCTAAGCTGGCACCGATCGACTTGAGCTTAGTCGCCTGGTCCATGGCCAAAGTTGCTCAAGGAGGGCAGGAATTTTACGATGAAGTCGCGGATGCAGTCTGTTGCAAGCGCGATGCATGGAAGATCAGTGACACGAGAAACATTGCGACGCTTCTCTACTCCTTGGCACTTGCAGAACAGGCGGCCTCTCATGAGGGCGCTTTCAGGATCCTAGCAGAGGCAGCCTGCAAGCGTCCAGGAGAGTTCAGCCTGCAGGGCTTGACAAATGCAGTGTGGGCCTTCGCTACGGCTTGCTACACAGATGAACGCTGGTTTGCAGTGGTGGCCAGTGAGGTATTGAAAAGGGACCACTCTGAGTTTGAGTTGCTGGATGTAGCAAATTGCCTGTGGGCTTATGCCGCTGTCTTGCACAAAGATCCTCACATCGTCTCAAGGTTGACAGCTCTCGGCAAGGTGATGATGACGGAGTTCTCTGCGCAGAATCTGGCCATCAGTGCTTGGGCCTTGGCATCATTGGAGGTGCGTGATCATCACTTTTTTGAACGAGCGGCTGACCCTTTCGTCGCACGACTTTCAGAGTGCAAGTCCCAAGAACTGAACAACATGCTCTGGGCCTATGCCACAGTCGGTGTCAGACTGCCGTGGTTGTTCATCAAAGTGTCAAACCACGCAAAAGCTGTGGGATTGGCAGAGTTTAAGATGCACGAGCTCTCCATAATGATGTGGGCACATGGAACTGCCGGAGTTTGCAACCATGATTTCTTCGACGATGCCCGGGGCCTAGCAGCAGGGGAAGATGAAGATGGTGTGACCGGGCGGGCTCAGGCAACCTTGGTAAGATCCGCCTTGCACGATTGAACGCTTTTGGTTGCTACGAACCCTAACCGAAGTCGAGAACCATAAGGAGCTCTATCACAAAGCCTTCAACGACCTGCAAGGAAAGACACTCTGGGTTGGTCCGTCGAGCGACTATCCCCGGAGTAATGCCCAATTGATCGGAGCTTTTGGGTTACCATGAAACCTCGCAGTGCCCCCCATGCCCCTGCACAGAAACGCAGAATCTGGGAATGCCCTAGCGAGTAGCCAGAGTCTCATCAGCATCGGACGTTTGAGCACCGTGCTGTCGGACTGAGGTTGTGGAAGAAGTCTTGGGCAGCCGAGGAATCAACAGCTGTGCCCCGCGGGAGGTTGCTAATGCAGCCTGGGCATACAGCACAATCATCGGTCGGTGCCACTGGCCCTGGATGCAAGCTGTAGCTGAATATTCCAGCCAGCATATCTGTGAGTTTGACATGCAGGGCATTGGAAACGTACTGTGGTCTTTCACAAATGTCGCAACTTTCAGTGAAAGACTTCTGGAGAGTGCATGCCGAGAGACGGCCAGGAGGGCCCGGGAGGATCCTGCATCTGCCTCGCAGAACATAGCACAGGTGCTAAGCGCCGCTCAAGCTGCCGGCCTCCTTCATATCGAACTCTTCCAGGCAGCGATTGAGGCTTTCCTTCGTCAAGGCTTCGCAGGCTCAGACCCTTCGAGATCCTCGGATGCGCAAGGCATCGGTGCCAGAGAGCTGTTGATTCTCGGCAATGCCGCCAAGCCTGCGTCAAGAGAGCTGGGAGATCTCTGGGCACGACTGAGCCAGTTCCTCGACTTGCACATCTTTCATTCCTTGCATCAGGCCGTACCTAGTGGCAATGGTGGCTGGTCAAAGATGGAAAGCCAGATCTCCGAACTGGACTTGGATCACCTGGGAGTGTGGTTCACGGCTCAATTTCTGGAAGATGTCAATGCGGTGAGCTCGGCGGAGGTCTTCACCCCAAGTTCTTCTGCATCTGCCTGGGTCAAAGAGGCGGCAGCCGCTTGTGCTGTCGAGCGGGAAAGAGCCATACGGGCAGGGATGGCTGAAGCTGCGCCCCTGGAGCAGCAAAAGCTTGTTCGACAACTCGACAAGGTGAACAAGAGGGAGATCGTTGCTTGGGTTCGGTATACCACGAGAACAGGCAGGAATGAGCCGGGCCGTGCTTTCAGCTGGCAACTCGAGGACTCCAAGAAACTCAAAGAGGCCAGCAGCTCCGCTTCGACGGCTTCGGAACTTCTCAGGCCGATGATCACACGCAGCCGTGTGGCTCCAAACATGCTTGGAGAGCACGACCGCAGTGGCCATGCGGAGCGCTGTGCACTAATGCAAGTGACCGCTGACCTGCTCCAAGACACTGACTCTGAAGGAGCTTCGAGAATCGAAGGCCAGCTATTTTTGTATGTGACCCACTTTCCTTGCATCTCTTGTGTATGTGTCATCGCACAATTCTCTCGATTGTTCCCACGACTCTCGTTCCATCTAGCTTATGCGGATGGAAGATCGATTCATGCCCAATCTTTGGAAGCAAGGCCAAAAGATGCTGGTTGGCTGGACTTTGTTATCAGCAGCTAGATTTCTCAGAAAACAGTGAAACTGATAGTGATGTTCAGGCATAGCTTTCACCTTAACCAAAAATCTGAAGAATAATCACATCGATTGACCATATTTCTTGAAACGATTCTACGAAATTCCTACCACATAAAGTAGAGATCAAATCAGAAATGGAAGGTATCTATGCTGTATATCAGTGTGTGTGTGTGTGTGTATATATATATATATATCTGTCTGCCTTCCCGCTTTCAATCTTCATGCAGCAGGACGGGGTTTGTTCTAATACGACGAGCAAAGGGAGTCCGGGCGAGGCGGCAAGAACATTTAGTATTGAATCAGTTGGTATGGGTTGGATTTTCAAGTCAGGTGTCTGTGATGATAGGCACCTGCCATCATGAGACCAACCCTGAGCGTGCAAGTTTAATAGGACATGGGTGGATTCCACAACTTTTGCGCAGGTCATGCTCAGATAAAAGACGAGGCCTACATGGTATACGGTAATAGTAATAGCGGTTTAAATTTTGATACACAGTTCTACATATCGTGTTGAGAAGCTCATTGCATTTTTCCCGCGACTTTGGGCTTGGACAGCTTCTCGTGGTCTGTCAAACGAGTTCATGAGTACCCGAGGTGCACATTAGTCCACAGAGTTGGACGTCACGATAGGATTGCACAGAGCTGTTACAGAGTTCTTTATGTTGGGGAGAAGTTCAAAGTTCACACCAGTTGCCGTACAGCGGCAGATGTGCATCAAGTGTTCACACTTGGGGCAAGGCAGAGCAACACGCGAGATGGCGCCCGTGTACACAGATGTCACATTGATTACCTCCAACGCTCATGTTTCATCGCATTACCATCTTAAGATGTCAATGGTTTAGCATGATGGTAGCCATGGCATTTTTCGCAGTGCTGTTTTCACTCCACAAGGTGCCCTGCTGGAATAAGACCGGCCTCAACAATGGTTTCCAGCCTGTCGGATCAACGCGATCACGTGGTCGAATGGGGCACCCCAGAGTTTGTGGACTTGCGTCTGTGCTCAACGACAAAAGCCCAAGACAATTGGCGTCGTGAGGGCAGAATACGGCCAGAGTAAAGCGACCTAGGTAGCTGCCTGAGTTCGTTATCTTTTGGAATCAGTTGTCCCATGGGAAAAGATTATTCGGTGCATGTCCTGAGGCGTCGCAGTTGCTCAATTGCCAGGAGCTATCAAGGGCGATGTTGTGACAGATGCAAGTATTCATGGAAAAGCCATGCCAAACCCATGGCGGTTCAGAATGCTGTTTCAATGTTGGGTGTGCCTGCAATGTGCTGCGCAGGTGCTACTGGGCGCCGTGCGGGATCAAGCAACACTGGACAGCCGCATCGCCGGGGCCTCTTGTTTTTCCCTCCAGTAGCAGAAAGTTGGAGGAGTGCATCGTTGCACAAAAGCCAACGTTGATGGAGATGTCCGACTCCGAAACTGCTTGTCTGGGGTTGCCGTTTTTCACATGTCATGTGAGGTGCCGTCTAGCCTGATACAGAATGCCTCCATACTGCCCCGTGGAGCAAGCAAGCAAAGAAAGGGTGTCAGTCGTGGTCCTTGTCGCTTGCTTGAAGTGATGATTGCAGGATGTTGGTTGGTGCTTGCGGCTTCAGACCTGAAGCCAGTTTGAGGGTTAAGAGTCTTAGGCTTTTCAGGTGTCAGTTCCCGCTGAAATGGCTATTCAACCCAAGGTGGGAGTTTGCAAGCCCAGATATTAGGTTTAATTTCAGCTACCAAGGTAAAGAGAAAGAGAATCTCAGAGCAGCTTTGACAAAGATCGGCTGCCCAACTGAATATTTTACCTCAGAAGACCACTGCCGGTGGAAAGGAGTGTTTTGCCACAAGGACTTCTGCGCAATACGTAAGCTGGTGCTTCCCCGGAGGAGTCTAGCAGGGGACATGTCTGGTCTGAGTGCCTTGGCACGGCTGCAAGCCCTGGTCTTGACCAACACCAAAGTGGTGGGCAGCCTCAGTATTCTTGCGAAATTGACAGAGCTGCAGCGTTTACAACTTTCTGGCACACGAGTGACTGGCGACGTGCGAGCCCTGGAAAACTTGACCAAGCTGGTGAGGCTAGACCTTTCCAAAACAGCGATTGCAGGGAACCTGCAGTCGCTTGAGAAATTTCTCAAGATGAAGGTTCTCCATATGGCTGGCACAGAGGTCGGTGGCAAATTGCATGCATTGAGAAATCTGACAAGAATACAAGACCTGGATCTTTCAGGCACCAAGCTGACCGGGGGCCTGCACCCCTTGAGACGACTCAGGCGTTTGCAACGTTTGCTGCTATCTGGTTCGCAAGTCACGGGCGATTTCCGAAGTTTAGAGAATTTGACGGACTTGAGCTTGGTGAATCTGGCCGAATCTGCGGTGTCTGGCAAGCTCCATTCCCTTGCAAAACTTTCGAGCTTGTCTGAGCTTGTTCTTTCCCGCACACACACAAGTGGCAGCCTCCAGGATCTCGCGAATTTGACCCAGCTGAAAGATTTACGAATGTCTGAAACTAGGGTGGTTGGTGGCTTGGCCTCGTTGGAGGCACGCCGAGAGGTTGTAACTGGATGATTCTGGGTTGACCTGGCTCTGCAAAGCTAGTACTCCATGACTTGTCTAGTGAGCTTGGATTAAATTAGCCGGAAGCCGTGGAAGGTCATGTCGGGACTCACAGTGCTCGACTTGGCGGGCACAGTCGGCGTGAACGGTGCTATTGCCGCCCTGATAAGGCTTGAGAGTCTGGAAATTGCAAACCTGGCCTCAACACAAGTCTCTGGACGTTTGACGTCCGATTGGCGGGGCCATTTGCGAAATCTTCGAACGTTGAACCTGGCTGTCCGATCCTCATTGCAGCGAGGTGTTATTGAATGACATATAGTCGTAAGGGATGCTAGCAGGGTATCCAGCAGGGTCAACACTTAAGCGCGAAGCAGGACATAGCTGGTTTGGGTTCTTGTGGATTTGCTGGATCGATATCGCTGAGGGCAGCCAAGTCCAGTTCCTCCCGAGCGGAAAAGACGTGGAGGTTCCTGCATGTAAGGGAAGTGGTATGGATTCAGTTTGCAGCACGTCAGCTTGGCAAATCTGCCTGTTTGAGCTGTGCCATGCCCCCTCAACTCTCCAAAGTGACTGCACTGTTTCGCGCAGGACTTGAGATATTTGTTCACAGCAGGGATTAAGGTCAACGCCCTGTTGCCTGCACTGAAGGAGTTGGATGTGACTTGTCATTGAAAATCAGCTTTCCCTTGCTTTGCCCAGGCACATGACAGGATTACAATCTAGAAGATGACACCTGCCAGGTCTCGCGTTGCCTGGTGCATGGCCCTGTTGAGGATTTGCTTTGGCCACTTGCGGCCTCCCCATGCCTTGTGAAGTTAGCAGCTGCTGGCAATAACTTGACTGGACCACTTCCAGACTTTGAAAACATGCACCTTGTATCTGTCAACGGTGATATCCGCAAACACTATAAATCCTTCCTGTCCAGCGTCCTGCAATCCCTTGACCTGTCCGGGAACCAGCTGGACCGAATTGAGGGCTTGGTTGCTGGCACTCTCCTGGCGCTGCGTGACAACACGCTGCCTGTGACCTTTGCCGCGGGCGTCCTTCAGCAAGCACTGGACCGGAGCGTTCATCTGGACCTCACTGGGGTCACCCTTAGCAACTCAGACGAGGCCATGCTTCTTTTCGCAAAGCAGAGGATCAAGACCACCAGGCTTGTAGCTACCACCGACATCGTGAACGGCTTCGCCTGCTTCGACCTTCAGGACAGCGTGCTACAAGTCACGCCTGACCGCTTCCTGCCCCAACTTCTGTGTGGCTGCTCTCCGGGCCACAGCGGGCTTGGCACCTACTGCTTGAAGTGCAGCGCTGGCCGCTACAACCCGAAGTTCAACCAGAGCATGTGTCTGCCTTGCCCACAGGGAAGCACATCATCACCAGGTGCCAGCTCTGCGGAAAGCTGCCAATGCAATGCTGGCAGGACTGGCGGGGTTCAGAATGTTCCACGTTTAGGCGAGGAAAGAATAGGATTTCTGTACCATGGCATCTGGTATTGCAGGATAGCAGCGGATTCAGATGATCCCAGATGCGCATGTGAAGCCCACACGGCCTATTACCAGAAGTCGTGCATTGAATGCAGCGAGCTGAATCTGGACCGAGGGATCTCATGCACTATCCAGCAGGGGGCATGGTGAAGTTCAGCCACCCTTGAGAAGCTTTGTAGATTGCAGAACCTCGCTAAGCTCGCTACCTGGTATCCCTGCAGGACTGCCCTGATGAAGGAAGCTTGGCAGAGTCGGCGCGGCCGAAGAGCGGATATGCGCGGCTAAGCAGCGCCATTCCGAATGCATCCAGGCCGCCAGGAACTCTTGTGAGGGCATCTGAGTGTGAATGTCTGGGACTAGCAGGTGCCTGGATCTCGCCGAAGAGCGCTGCAAGACCTCAGCCAACAGTTCCGAGCTGGGCTGTGCGCAGGGCTATTTGGTGGCACAGGTGGCAATCTGGTGCCGCAGGGTCTGCTGAATTCGCTTCCGTCCTGCCGAGGCTATGAAGGTCCTTTGTGCACTGCGTGCGCCAATGGATACCGCAGCAGCGGCCACCGGTGCCGCAGGAGGGCATGTATGCTGGCAACCACTAGCTGTACCCTTCGCTGCGATGTTGCGAGAGCTTGCCAGGTGTGCACAGGGTCACACACTGGGAAGATGGCCGGCCGTGATGGTGGCTGTCGCTGTGGCAGCTGCAGTCGGTGCGATCTTTGCTTGGAGAAGGACGGAATCCGGGCTTTTCGCTCGGTAGTTGTCGCTCTGCCTTGCTACAGTAGAACGGTCCGACTCAGCCAGGAGAAGCGCTCCGCGGGAAGCCACTGCCTCCACGGCCTCTACGCCCGAAGCAAGAGCAGCCGCACTGCTGCAGTCAACCACAACCCAGGCTCAAAGATCAGAGATGTAGGGCCCGGTTGGAGCTGAGGTGCTGTCCCAGCTTCTGCTGGCTCAGGGGCCCGTGCTCTTGCAGTTGTGTCAGCTCTGGGGCGACCCTGAGCTTAATATTCATATTATGTATCATTTTGTGTGTGAAGGCTTGCTCGGACTTATGTGCATACTCCTGCCTTCGCGTGCTTGCTGTGTGTGTTTGGTGACAGTGAGGTCTTGGTGGCTTTGAGTCAGACCACGCAAAGCAGTGGGCCTGCGGCAGAGGGCCAATGGGAGCAGGTTCTCGATATGTTGCTGTCCGATGGTCTTTGGAAGAAGCTGTTGCCAGGAGTACGTGCAGTGGCTTCAGTTGACGGCCGGCGGTCTGCGCGATGCTCTCAGCATCGAGTGTGCCTACGGCAGGACCACATCAGATGCCGTGCGCCAGCTTTTCGCACCAGACTATGCGCCAACAAAAACTACAGTCGCAAAGCTTTCGCAGCAGTGCACGTGGTGAGCGCATCCAGGACGTCTCGAACCGTGTCCGCCCTCGCGGCTCCTTGCATGCCGCTGCTACTGCTGGGACTGAGCGGTGCCGTCGAAGCTGTGGCCCGTGGCTGTGGAGCTCCTGGCATGTTCCCACTGACCCAGCCAACGCATTCAAAAGGTTGGATTTCAGATGGTTTCAATTGGCTCAAACATGCCAGTCAACAGGGCCGACCTCGAATTAGGGGGAGGGAGGATGAGCAAGTGCAGATGAGCTGTTGCCAGGTGTAAGCATGGCGCTGAAAGCCTTGTCTCTGTTCTTCATTGGGGGCGCCTCTAGCTGCGCGAAGCTCTTGCACTGCCAGCGTCTGGATGGAGGCAAGCCTCGCAAGCTTGCGCGTACATCTGCAGCGCTTTCGTGCATGGTGTGACGGTGCAAGGTGGCGAGCCGCTACAAGACCGGGCTTTCCGAGCCCTGCTGCCGCACAAACTGTGTGCGGAGTCGGACGGCGAAGCTGCTTGGGTCGCGGCCTCAGTGCTTTGATTTGGAGCATCGACATGTCAGCCGATGCCCAGGCCGATCGTGTTGGATTTGCTTGCGCTGTGGCATATGGAATCCTGATTCCGGGCTTTTTGCTGTCGTTGATACTGAAGCAGCATCTGGTCCTCGCTCCGAGCAGACGCTTCGTGTTTTTCTCCGAGCCGGAGGGAGAGAAGACCTTGGTGGGAGTACGTGTGCTGAAGCCGCCGGATGGTGCAGAGACGGCCGAGGAGGTCGGGACGCGTGTTTGATCCAGGCACTGCTCCTACCCTGCACTGCGATTTGCTTCGGAGGAGGAGCTGAGAGCACGACATCTTTTGGCCTCCGCCGTGGCCTACAGCGCAGTCTTCTTTCATGGTCGCGTGCGGCTGCAGCTGCAGGCTGACACCATGCCGCTTGGCCCGCAACTGGCTGAGCGGTGCCCAGGGAGGATCTGTCTACCACTGTCATCGCAATGGTTCAGGACGGTGCAGCGAATCGAAGACAAGCTTGAGGACGCGGACGGAGCAGAGCTCGACGTAGCTGTGCCGCAGGATGTTCCAAGTATCACGGTGTATCCCGCATGTGCTCGGGTCACGATGCACTCAGGTGAACAGCCTTCTCTGGACTGCTCTGAAGAACAAAGCAGATGAAGACCTCGAGCGGTGCCGCGCAATCGCAAGGCGCGGCTGGCAAGGATTTTATAGGCTGGGGCATATGCTCTCAGCAAAAGCTGATGCTTTCGCCGAGGATGTTGACCGAACAATACATCCTTGACAAGGCCAAGGCCTCCGACCGACGCCTGGCTGGTTTTCAGGGGCGTTTGGCGGCAGCAGCCAGAATGAGGGAAGACTACCGAGCACCTTGCAAGTCCCTTGTAATTCCTTGTGTGGCTTTGAGCAGCCTGCCCTGAAGGAATCTTGGCCGGTTCCACAGAGCTTTTCTTCAAATATGCTCCTCGACAGTATCTTGCGGTTGCATACTCAGTCATGTTCTAGCGAACCGGATCCCAGGGAAAAGCTCACCTCCCTTCGCTTCTTGCGGCAGGTCGCTTGCAAAGACGTTTGGCTCGAGATGGCCATGAAATTGGTTGCCGTCGCCTTGGTCGCCTCGGCCACGTGGAAGCATTGGGCAGAAGTGGTCGCAGCAAGGTCTGCCGGGCTTTTTGCTTTCGACACGGTTGCAAGTTGCACAGGTAGCTTCGCAAGATAACAACAGCCTCATGCTGGTGCTGGGCATCACCACCGGAACAGCCATCTTGCTGGGCACCTTGAAGCCTTACCGACAACGCCAGGTGTGGATGAAAGCGAGTTCTGCAGGGGTTCATGCTCAGAAGGGCTACAGTCCGACAGTGTTGAAGCTTCGGGCTGGGCCGCAATCAGGTGAACGATTTGCAGAGCTGTTGCTTCTACTGCCGCTCAGCAGCAAGATGAGCAGGGGTGATCCTGCCCCCCTGCCTCGCAGCTTGCTGCATTTGCGGTCAGGTTTGGCAGCATCCGCCCTTGGGTTTGCTCTTGGAAGTGTCTGGCTCCCTCGCTGCACGCTGGCCGCCCCGTTTGCGCTGGCTGCCGCGCAGACGCTGCGCCCAGGCCAGAAGTTGCCCGAAGGGTGTTCGTGTGCGTGAGCCTCCTTCTTAGGATTCTTGCAGAGCCGGTTTTTGTGTCTTGCTCCAAAAGCCTCGTGGAGCAGATGGGCCCGAAGCACTGGCGCTGCGCATCTCTGAGGCCTTGCTTCTGCATCAGACGCCATGACGGACAGTAGCACAGAAGCGTCTTGCGTAGGCTGCCAATGCCCGGTGGTCGGCACTCCAGCAGGGCGATCCTGTGGACTGTGGCATGGAGACTCTGAGCGGTATCTGAAGACGTCTAGATTCTAGATTGAAGAGTCTCTCCGGAAAGTCACTGTATGCACGCCTGCTCGCTTGAAGCTTAAAATATTGGTAATGCACACATGCTCAATTAGATTGGATATAGATTTCTTTGAGGTAATAAATAGCCTAATTGACAAAATATTGAAAATCTGCATTTACAAATCAATTTTATAAGACAAAGTAGTTGCTCTGAAAGATTTTTGAATCGCAATTTATACTACCAGCCAACTTATAGCAAAAATAAATCTTCGCTAAAATTCTACGATGGTCTCGTTAAATTGGTTTTTAATGAAATTATTTTTTTATATTTTTCGGTATGATTATTATTATTTATTTATATTATTTTGAAAATTATAAGATTCTTGATGATATGGAGGATGGAAAAATATTATATGTCTTACTATATCTTATCTGAAAAATAAGATATATTCTTAATAACATTCTTTAATTTTCATTAGATATCTCTCTTATGAAAAATATATTTGTTGATTTTATTTTTTCTTATGATAATTTCGTGAGGTTGCTATTATTTTTTCGATATTCTAGATTTGAAATTTGATTAAATTTAACTATTCGAAAACTTCAATATTTAAGATAATTTATATTGGTAGAGGCTCTAAAAAACTAATAATTAGAATATCTAGTATTTTCTAAGATTCAAATTCTTTTTTATATCTGATTATATAGCGATTTCTAAATTTCAAATTCGTTTATATAATTTTAAATTAATTTCAAAATCATTATTAAGAAAGAATTATATTTTCTAGGACATGAAAATGAAATATTATTGGGATTTGAGATTTGTTAATTTATAATTAAGAAAATTTAATTCTTCTTTAATAATGAATTTAGAATTTATTTGAAATCAATATGAATTGAAATTTAGAGAATGCTAGGGAAAATATTTTTTTATTGGGAGGAACCTGATCATACCCTCGAAAATCGTGCAGACACCTTGGACAACTTCTTTTTGTGAGAATATGAATATCTTATCAAATAGAGGAAGGATAAAATCCTACATGATTCCTTATATGATAAATATATAGAAAATAAGATATTATAGGCCTCATATTTTCGATATTCGTATTTATAATAAAAGTATTTTTTAATCAAAATTATTCTATAGAAGTAAATTTTGAGATTTATATGAAAGTATTTTTATAGCAAAAATAGATACGAGGAAGGATTGGGGACGGGGGGAGGCGCCAATTAAATAAAATCCTGGAGAGCGGGGGGGGGCAGGCGCCAAAAAATAAATAATAAAAATATAAATAAAAATGCAATTTATTTTTTTTTTCAGGATTTATTTTTTTTTGGCGCACCCCCCCCCCCCAAGGGCCATTGAGGCTGCCTCGAGTATTCCTGACTTGGGGGGTCGCCGAAGCCCTTCGGGCCATAGGGCTGCCTGGCCGCCTAGAGGATTGCCGGGCTGGGGGGGGGTCTCCCTTCAATATTCTGGTCCAATAATAAACCGCTATGCTAAATAAAAAGAAAATAAAGGAAGATACGCGTAAATATTTAGCCCTATATCAAGATTTTCAAGATTAATAGATAGAAATTCATGAAAATATATTGCTTACGAGATATTGCATCTATATATATATATTATCCAGATTTCAATAACAGCTATAGGCATATATATATATGAGATGAATTGATATATAACTCCTTTTTATATCTATATCAATATGCATATTCATTCAGATGGACAGCCTTGCACAAGCAAGACTCATTATGGAGCTTCTGAGCTTTTTTCGGATATATTAGATGGCTAATACCATCAGATCAAAGAAAAGCAGCAAAATCAGAAAGTCGGAAGTAGTCAAAGAGCATGATATATGAAAAAAACCCAGCTTACGCATCGAAATATACCAAAAATAAACTTACATATTGATCCACAACACCGAACTGAACTCGGATGATTATCGACCCAATCCAACATCAAAAACAGGTACAATTTGACTGCATTTTGACTCGCGACATTCACATGCTCAAATTCTTGATTTTGGATAGATAAGATTGCACGTGGATTAGTATTGTCCCCGACAAATTGATATGCATGAATCCAATCTGCATGAGTATGAATATGAATATATATATATAGATATCAATATTGACTTATATATGCTTCATATATTATATCTAAATATCAGAACCTTAAATTGAGATTCAATATCTATCCTTGGCGACCATTTGCGAAGCCTCTATTATATATATTGATATATAGATTGCCAGACGGATATTTAAATATATACGAAATCATTTGTGCCCAGCCATTATTTTCAGGATTTTGAGGTTTGCCACCTATTATCTCCTGTCGAAGAGGCTTACGAGTCCATTTATTTTGAGGTTCCTGGATGGTTTGGGCATCGCGCAGCCCTATCAAAAGCTATCTATGGCATCCACTTATTTCAGCAATTTGGATATCGCACTCATTATCTCATAGCTGGGCTTGATCCATGAGATCTATGCTCTATTTTGGAGGATCTGGCTTTCAGGGCTATTGATTATAATTATTTATATAGAAATCTTTTTAAGATTTCAATATTGAATTTTATAAAATAAATATTTTATTTAAATTCGAAAGAAATTCTATTATAATCATCTAGATATGATATTAGAATAATATATTTAATTGAAGTTTATTAATATATAATTTTTCTCGATTTTGAATTCTTTCTAATCTTCTTCAAAAAATATTCTATATTATGAAAATAGTTAATATTATAATCCCCTATCATATTCGAATAATTATCGATAAGATTCGTCGGCGATTAATTATATACTATTGTTTTCTTGAAAATAATTTTTTCTTCTTCAAGATTAAGATGAATGCTAATATTATTATTATTATTGAATTTCTTAATATTTTTCTGATTGAAAATTTCAAGAATATTATTTTGATTATTCTTTTTTCATATAGATTCAAGATAATTTCTCGATAGATATCATATATATATAATTCTATAGATAAAACCCAGAATTCAAAAAT